GGAGTGCTAAAACTTCCCTCTTTGGTAATGTAAAGGTTACTTTGACAGATCTGCGTGTCAAATCCTGTACCGAATTGACCTATAAACCATGGCTTGTCCCACTGATAGGTAAAACTTCCCCATCCTGCTGTCCTGACAACTTGTTATGCAGTATCATAATGATGTATCTCTCCCCACTGAGCCTGTTATTATAAAACCTACACCTTGATGAACATACTACTACAAATACCTAAAGGGAATTAAGAGGTGTAGCTCATTTGTGACCTCAGCGGACAGACACAATGGTAATCAAACACTTTTGAGTAGTAAAATGTTTGGCATGACTGATCCCCAAACCTTTTTTGAGGGCTATCATGCACAAGGGAAAGGCAAAAAAGGGAAGGAGATAACAAACGCAATCTATTTTAGAGATCTAAAATATGCTAAATCCCTTCAAAATACAGCAAAACCATTATTTTTCTTGACTATTGTCAGTAGATGAGTAATTCTAAGACTTTATTCAGAAATACTTGGGACAGTGAAGTAAACTAAGACAAAGGGAACACACCGAAAAGTTTCCTGCTTTCTCCATTTGAAATGAAATCTTGCTTCTGTTGGTAAAATTGACATTGACCTCAGCTGAGGCCAGGATTTTGCACTTAATTTTACAAATATGGAAAAAGAAAGCTCTTTTATAGTTTAAAGAATCTCTGTTTTGTTCTCACTTTGTACTAGATGATGCCATCATAAAAATGGATAGAGTCTACATACTCAGCATTATCCTGCATTGATGAGTTCAACATTTATTGTGTTATGTCATAGGCCATATTATATAACTGTAAAAACAACTACTACATTATGTAAGAATAATACTGTGTAATTGCAGTAATGAATCATTAAGTACTTGATACTTCAAAATCCATACTGTATTGAACCACTGATAATGCTGTATTTTCTTGATACCTGCAGGTTCCCCTTCATCTTAAAACATGACAGCTGATTGTACATATCATTTTGTTTGCACAGCTATAAATACTGTGGCCAGCTATAGTATCTAAAAGCATAGATTTGATTATTGAACTATTATGACATGAAATGGTTTCAAAAACAGGTCACAAGGTTTCAGATATAAGAATAGTTACTAGAAGTTCTTTAAAATATTAATTATTAAGGTAGAATATCACAAAGGTGAGCTGATAATACATTCATGTGATTATTGGCTAGGTTTGATGCCATGTAAGTCCATATTGTCTGCATCCTACCAATACGTAGCTAGTTAGCACTAAAATTGTAGTAACTAATTTGTATACTGGTGAAAGAACAAATTCACTAGTGTGTGATTCAACTATGTTAAAAAAGCATCAACTGACTCAAAAACTTCTGAAAACTATGATCAATAATGTCATATAATCCTTGTGTTCATTTGTAACTTCTCAAAGACAACAGATTTAAAATGGTTTTCTGTACACAGTTATCACTGATCATAATATTGATAGCACAGTTCTTAGGAAAAGAAGCCTTGCATGTCAAATCTCACTCTACTATTTGTTACATAATGTTTAATGTAATTTGAGTTTAAGAAGGATAAAACACACACCTACATGCTACATGACTCTTAAGTCAGCTTAATAACCAAACACAGATTAACTGTACCTGTTCTATTCTACCAAGCCCTTTAAACTTAGGGTTCAGATCTAATCATTGCTCATTCTAGCAATGCACAAAAAGCACACAGAAGTCCATAAATAATCATTGTTTGCATGTAGTCACACTAACCCCTTTATCTACGCTGCTCTCAGCACCACCTCAGCCATGATTTGTGCACAACAAATCCATTCTGCTGCAAGACTCTTCTATACACACACAACAGATAAACTGAAAATGCTCTTTGTTCTCAAACTAAATAAGGTGGCATTTAAATCCTCCTGGAGTGGAATATCGCGTTTTGTTCAATCCGTTGTACATGACAAGTAATTGAAATGGTTTTATAAAATCCTTCCTTTCAGTGCTACCATTACCTGTATATCTGATTGATTAAATTTTTAGCATACAGTGATTCTCCCGAATCTAACAATGTTATCCTTAAGATATCCTTGTAAGATCTTCTGTAGATTTCCTTATTTGGACAAAATATCACTTAGTACAGAAGAAGACAAAGAATTTAATTATAAGTATTTTAAAGGCTCCTTTAGGATATTTTCTAAAGAAGTCTTTAAGAACAGTGACCTTTGTTGACCATGACAGATGAATAATTTCAAAAGAATAATTGTGCAATACAAATGAGCTGGAGAAAGACAATTTACGTATTGGAGAATTACAGACTGGTTGAAGTTGGAAGGATCCTCTGGAGGTCATCTTGCCCAACCCCCCAGCTCAAGCAGGGTATATGGGGTTGGCGTGGTAAGGTTTTGGTAGCAAGGAAGGCTACAGGGGTGGCTTCTGTGAGAAGCTGCTAGAAACTTTCCCTATGTCTGATGGAGCCAATGCCAGCTGGCTCCAAGACAGACCTGCTGCTGGCCAAGGCCAAGTGGTATTGCCTTAAAGAAGGGGGGAACACAACTGCACAAGAGAAAGTGCAACTAGAGGGAGGAGTGAGAAAATGTGAGAGAAACAACCCTTGCAGACACCAAGGTCAGTGAAGAAGGAGCGGGAGGAGATGCACCAAGCACCAGAGCAGAGATTCCCCTGCAGCCCATGGTGAAGACCATGGTGAGGCAGGCTGTCTCCCTGCAGTCCATGCAGGTCCATGGTGAAGCAGATATCAACCTGTAGCCTGTGGAGGTCCCCACACCAGAGCGGGTGGATGCCTGAAGGAGGCTGTGACCCCATGGGAAGCCTGCGCTGGAGCAGGTTCCTGCCAGGACCTGTGGCCCTGTGGAGAGAGGAGCCCACACCGGAGCAGGTTTGCTGGCAGGACTTGTGACCCCATGGGGGACCCACGCTGGAGCAGTCTGTCCCTGAAGGTCTGCACACCATGAAAAGGACCCATGCTGGATGCTGGAGCAGTTCATGAAGAACTGCAGCCTGTGGGAAGGACTCGTGTTGGAGAAGTTAATGGAGGACTGTCTCCTGTGGGAGGGAACCCATGCTGGAGCAGGGGAAGAATGTGAGGAGTTGTCCCCCTAAGAAGGAAGGAGCAGTAGAGACAACATGTGATGAACTGACCACAACCCCTATTCCCTGTCCCCCTGCACCGCTCGAGGGGAGGAGGTAGAGAATTTTGGAGTAAAGTTAAGCCCAGGAAGAAGGGAGGAGTCGGGGGAAGGTGTTTTTAAGAAGGTGTTTTTTAGTTTTTATTTCTCATTATCCTACTCTGATTTAATTGGTAATAAACCTTTTTTTTTTTTTTTTCACTATTGAGTCTGTTTTGCCTGTGACAGTAATTGGTGAATAATCTTCCTTTCCTTATCTTGACCCACAAGCCTTTTGTTATATTGTCTCTCCCCTGTCCAGCTGAGGAGCGGAGTGATAGAGCGACTTTGGAGGGCACCTGGTGTCCAGCCGTGGTCAACCCACCACATAGGACCACCTAGAGCCGATTGCCCAGGACAGTACCTAGATGGTTACTGTACCTTACCAATTTGAAAAAAAAAATGTGTATCTACTTTTGTATGTACAGCTATTTCTTTTCAGAGTGTCTAAAAGCCTACATGGGTGTTTAGTAATATTTGCTGACTGACTCTATACACAGTCTGATGGTCTAGTGCCTAGGGAAAAGAGTTTCCACAATTCATTAATAATAGAGATTAAATTATAGGTGAGAAGTCAATGTTTCAAGATACAAAGCTGCAGCCGTAAGGTAAATGGTAATGTTTCAG